ACTGCAATCAGTTGCAGATCAAGGCCTAGAGATGTGTATTGATTTGCTAGTCATAGATTCCAGTTCCTAACTTACATACTCAGCAGCAAGCATGATGAAAGTTGCAACCACTTCCATTCCTCTTGCCAGAAAAAAAAAACTGTTGGAAGAGCATGATGGCATCTGTAATCCTTGTAGCTGAAGTGAAAGATGTGGTATAACACAACCCTACACCAAATAAGCGGTGAGTTTGATATTAACAAAGGTTCTTAACTTAATATGGTATAGCTTCCCAGGAGGCCTTCCCAGGTAGCGCCCCTTTATAGATATGTATTGACAAATATGGGATACAGCTCAGTAATTATAAAAAAGAACTGGAACAGCACATAGTGATGTATTGTAATACCAAATGAATGCAGTTGTTAATGATTACACTCACAAGATGTACCCCCAAAGGGCTACAATGATCCACTATCCTTCTTTGGATGAAGTTGGTAACCATTCAAGGTACAGGAATCTCAATAGATGAAGTCAGGAACAAATAAAAATGTATTTGGGCAATAATAAGCCTCCAAATGGTAATAAAGATAAAAACAATAAATATATAGATGCAACACGTTTCTTTCACACAAGGTGGGCTTCTTCAGGGATAAAAATAAACAAACAATACAATGCACTATAATGTATAATCCTAGACCCCATTAAAGGTCCTTTTATATAGTCCCAGTCCTTAATCAAAATTGGAGAATCTTTCCAAAGGCCCTGTGTCTAGTCCCCAATCAGCTCCCCTCTTTCAGAAAGGGAACCTCCTTGTAGGATGCTTACTATTTTGTTCAGCCGCTGCATATTATCGGCTTGATTTTCCCGCAGATCATCAAGTGAACGACGATTGCATTCCAAATGTCTGTGACATGCATTCCACAGACCATTTCCGGTTCAGTTCGGAAGTTAGATACATAGTTACATAGCTGAAAAGAGACTTCCTCACATTTGTTTTTTGCTGTTGATCCAAAAGAAGGCAAAAAAACCCATTTTGAAGCACTTCAATTTTGCAACAAGCTAGGAAAAAAATTCCTCCTTGACCCCTTGAGAATGGCAGTCAGGTTTATCATTGGGTCGAGCAGTTATTACCCTACATTGAAAGATAATATCCTTGAATATTCTGTTTTTGCAAGTATGCTAGTAGCTGGTTGAACATCTGTATAGATTCTGATAAAACCACTTATTCAGGCAGAGAATTCCACATCCTTATTGTTCTTACCGTAAAAAACCTTTCCTTTGCCTTAGACATCTTCTTTCTTCCAGTCTAAACGCATGACCTCGTGTCCTATGTAAAGTCCGGTTTGTGAATAGATTTCCACACAATGGTTTGTATTGGCCCCGAATATATTTGTATAATGTTATCATATCCCCTCTCAGGAGACTTTTTTGTAGACTAAATAGGTTTAAATTTGTTAACCTTTCTTCATAGCTGATATGTTCCATTCCTTTTATTAATTTTGTTCATGGATGCTGCTTGTGTTCTATCACCATAGTGATTGCATTCTGAAGTCTATTAACCCTGCTCATGTAGGCTGATAATAAGCAAGCCAGTATTTCTTAAATGACAGGTCAGGACAATAGTTATACATTTCAATATATGATCTCATCAGATTGGTAATACATTTGCTATCTCAATGAGAACAAAATTCCTCCATCCTACACAGAAGAAAGGACAGACAAATGCCCATCTCTGAGCAAAAATGCCTTCCAAAAGCTAGAGACAAACTGGCTACTGTTATCAGAAACCATTAAATCAGGATTGCCAGGTAGGCGATGTCCCTGGAGAATATTTTAGAAAGCTGTGAGGAAGAAGGTAATTTCTTAAGGGGTACAAAATCGACCATTTTAGAAAAACGGTGGACTACTATAAAAAGGTAACTGTATGTCCATTGGTAAGGAGCAGGTCAACTATGAAGTCATTGGCTAAGTGTGACCAGGGTCTATTGGGTATTCATAGAGGTCGGAGTAGACCACATGGTAATCTGTGTGTCCCTTTGAACCTGTGAATAGAGTAAGGAGCACAACCATAAATCTTTATATATATGAAAAAATCTTTATTAAATGGGTATATACTATAGGACTGTCTCTTTAAATATTATCCACAGAGGTACAAAGTCATGCTATTCAAAAGCATTTACCAGAAAAGCAATGATATAAGCAAATATAAATGCTCAATGCGTAATAAATGAATGAAAGAGATATCGTGCAAACAGTCCACTATGATACTAGTATAATGAAAACCCAGACATATAAAAAAATGCAGCAAACCATACCAAATTCAGTGAGAAGTAGGGACAGAGTCAATCAAAAAAAAAACAACGTTTCGGCTGAAGAGCCTTTGTCAAGGGAGCATGTTGAGAAACTAAGTTCTCCCCTTATATACCCACAGGAAACACCAAAATTAAAATTAAAAACACCTGAAAGTAATGGGTGGTCACCCATAGTGATTGAGATCCTCCCAACCATCAAACACATGTTTATGGTTACCAAGGAAACCAAGTATATACACACCTATCATACATATATAGCATCAAGAAGAGTTGCAAATAAATATAATAGTATAAATCAAATTAAAGACATCCATATATGCATGCATTAAAGACAGTAACAGATCATCATCAGTGCCATGGTAAGTAAAAAAGTAAATCCTATTACAAATAACAGCATATTCAATTGAACAGACCAAAGGTCTTCACATGAACAAAAAGTAAAACATATATTACATACACATGAAAGAAATAAACACACCCAGAACAGAGATCAGCCGATCAGGCTACTGGAAAAGATAAAATTCAATCCGTCCTGAGTGAAAGCGAGGTGCGAGCAGCAGCATGCGTTTCAAGTTGCCGAACCCAGGAATCGGCTGAATGAAATGGAGGTTCCTAGTTGGTCTCCCATACATGTACTAACCAGGCCTAAGTCTGGATAGCTTCTGAGATCTGACGAGATCAGGCATTTTCAGACTGGTATGGCCATAGATATGCATTCCAATATATCCGGCAAACAAAGCCGGTCTGCGTCCTGCGCATGCGTTCAAGCAACATAATTAAAGCCCAGAAGTGGCTATAACGTGTATATGTAAGAAAACGGAGCAAAAATAATTATGAACAGCTAGAAATACCCAAGGAGCCAAATAAAGCTCCTATATAAGGCAAATAGATAATAAGAAGAAATATGAAAAAAAACAGATAGAAAATAAAGAGCCAATAACAAAATATCCCTTTGACCCTGGCACAATTATCACAATGTATTCTTTGGTGTTCTTGTATAAACAAGAAAGATCAGAGACAGTTTTGAAAAAAATCTAGTTTGAAAACCAAAATGGCCAGGTGTTCTACACACAATTCAGGCAGATATTGCCATTATCTGAAGATGTAACTGAGCAATATTTGCTTTTTTTCTAAATGAAGCTTGTCAGTTTTATGAACTATACATGAAACAATCGGTATGTGTGTGACTGAAAAACACAAAAGTACACAACATTTTCAAGATATTGGTAGTAAAGTGGCAATATGAAGTGTTTTGAAATACTCATCATCCTTAAAGGAACACTCTGGTAATTATTACAACTTCATCAAAACAAAGTTTCTATGCTGCAGGGAGGTCCCTCTGTGCCTGCTTACCTCAAGAGGTTAAACAAAGGGGTTAACTCAAAGTCTTGCATCGAACGCCTGCAGATCCCAGTCTGAGTCTTCCTAATTTAAGTCTCAAATTGCAACTAAAATTGCACAGATTTGGGGAAGCTCGGAGACCTCCTTTTGCCATACCAACTTAATTCCAATACTGTTGTTTTGGTGTCCAGGGTGTCCCTTGGAGGCCCAACAAATCTAGAAAATCTTATTGAAACAGAATTTAGCTCCTTGTAGTTAGTGGCCTATGTGTATTAAAAATAGAATGAAAACCTAGACTTAAAATGTTTTGCAATACAGAAATATAAGAGAAATTATTATGAAGCATTTTTCCTTAGCTACACAAATTATATATACATTATTATAGGCAAACTGTGTAAAAAAAATTGTATTATATCTCAAATATATATAGATATAGTTGCATTAAATGAAAAAGCCTATCTTTCCTCAAAGTACTTCAATATTAATGCACGTTCACAGAAAATTCAAACGTACATGCGTTGCATGTCAAATTGGCATGCATTTCAAACTTTTGCATTCATGGCAAAAATTACACAGCATAGTTAAATCTATAATTCTATATTTTACCAAGGCAGAAAACAAGTAAGAAATATATGGAATAGCGTTCTTTGGTTTTTACATGTATAATTGTATACCATTTTGTGTTATAACTAAATAAGGGTTCTTTCCAAATCATTCAACAATGTTAGAAAAGTTTCCAAGAGAATTAATAAGACAAGTCACCATAAAAGTCTATGGGAAATTTTTGTAGATAAATTACTTTGCAATTCTGCTAACAGCATTGAATTGTTTAGAAAGCTTATTAAATCGAGGCCTAAGTGTTTAACAGCTTCTTTCTTCTAGTCAATGTCAACTGGGCCTCCGTTGTTGGTGAACGACAAATTTCAATAGTCTTTGCCAGCCATCTGTGTTGTTTTTTTTTTTTGGTAGCTGACATTCTTTAAGAGATTGCAGATTACCGAGAGCTGAAAAAAACAATATTTAGGTACCCCATTCCCTGTACTGTTACTTTAAATATATTTTACTGAATTTAAAGCTAATGTCTATGTGAATAGATAAAATATTTGAAATCAAATTGTATCCTTTTCCCCGAGCTCCATACATTTTTATCTTTTCTTCCCCAAGGATTAAGAGACCGGTGGGTCAGATGCCTTAGGAGGCAAGTTGTAAATCTGGCCCTGTGAGCCTGTTTATTGGAAAAAAATTCTCGGCATACAAAAATTTCTGGCGTCTCTCTGTCAGTGTTTTATCCAATAAGGAATACATAGTTTGCACATGCTGCAGGCTGGCTGCCTTGTGAAGGATCAGGACATCTGCAGCAGTTACTGAGGAGGAGTGAAGGGGGGGGACTTGGCAGATTTTTTGTGCTGCCACAGTCTTACAGTACGTAAACCTTCTGTGTGTGCAGCATTGCACCCACTCACTAATGTGTTCTTCTGGAGCAGTGGCACAATGGCTTCAGGAAAATATCACCAGCCTGGCACATATAATGGATGTAAAGCCAATCAGCTAGTGTCACAGGAATACACTCAGGAACTGCATGTTAAAATGTGTAAGAAGATCGCACAACTCACCAAGGTAAGAAAAGATAATGTTTAATGTGTCTGTGTATCTGGCATGATTCAGTTTGCAGGTCGTACGAGCTGTGAATCTGTTTTATCTTCTAATCCCTATGCAAACCCTAGGAATCCTTGAACAATCTATCGTTTAATGCTGTTTGAAAGACGATTGAATAATATTCACTATACTCGTTTTTGTTTGCATTTCGTTAACGATTTTACAGTTGAAAACATAATATCCTGCTCAAATTTTATATACATCATGTCTTGCTTTATTATCTTTTGTAAATCAGTAATTTTGTGTTTTCAGATCCGAGAATTAGTTAGCTGTTTTAGCAACAAAGGTTTCATTTATGTGATGGTGCAGTGAGAATGGTACTTTGTATGGCATGTTTAAAGTGCTTTTTCTTTCCAATGTGTCTTTCTTTTCTCCTGAGCTCCTTCAATCATAACATCCTTCCTTCCGTCTCATGTGTCACCTTGTTTTTTAATTACTTATCACTGTATCATCTTTCTTATTTCGGCTTATCCTATATAATTTTACCTCTTCCACATATCATATCTAATATTGTCACATATTTTCACCTCTTCCTTCCTCTCTCAGATAATGTTATCTCCCCATAACACTATCTCCCACACTGTGAGAAATTCCTATGCTGATCAAATCAGCATCTCCTCTTTATTTTATTTCATTTTGTTGTCCCTTCACGTCTATAGCGCAACTACTTTTAGCTGAAATAATATATTGCACTGTAGAGAGCCTGAAAGGAATTCTTTTTGATAACTTGTAGCTGTCCTCTGTTTTGAAGATGAGGAAAGCCATGCAATGTCTGGCACTCTACGATAACTATGCACTTGTTATGGTTAGTCACTGTAAATCAGGAGTGGTTAAATCAGATTGTGTAGGATTAACTGAAATAAAATGCTCTAGATTACTTCCAACAGTTCATTTTGCGTTATAATACATTTCTGACCTCTGTTTGTTCACTGGACTAGTTATTTAGAACTCTGACCATAAACTTTTGCCTCCAGCCCCTGACTCTGTATCGTAATGACCTTGTTTTGCTTTTATTCTTTGACACAACAGTCTTGGCCACCTTACTGTGACCATTTGGGCCTGTATTGACTGTATTGACTATGTATGTTGTTCAACTATCTTGACCTCATAACATTATTCAAGTTACCCAGCTCCCAACTGATATTACATGCCTTAAAATGTACTTTATGTGTGAGGCCTGAACAGTATAGTAAACATGTTAGAGTGATGGAGATCAGGACCCTAATGCATATTTAATGTTACCTACTAGGGACATTGTTAGGGTAAAAAAAAACAAAAATAATTTAGTAACCCCTTCCCAAAGCCCTACCCTGCCAATCCCCAACTCCACCCATTATCAAATCTCTTCACACACTCACAGTTATTCTACACCCACACACAGATACACAGATATACACAAGCACACACACAGGAACTGACTCATACACAGGAGCAGATCGGCACAAAGACAGACCAACTATTTTAGTTTGAATTGACATTCTCTAAGCTTTTGTCCATTCTTTGAGTTATCATATTCTTTGGTGGGGGGGAGGATAGGGGGGAGATTCTGCTTCAATGCATATGTTCAGGGTCTAGAGGGATTTCAGCTACACCTCGCTGACATGACCCGAAGAAGGCCGAAACGATCATCTGGGATTGCTGTATCTCTCGTGCAGAAGGAACTTGCTGGCAATTCAATTCTGTACTGCCCTTAGGGGTGGGATCAGCCTGATATGCAAATGGTATAGGTTCACTCAATATTGGCACAAGTGAGCAAAAACTAGTTACAAACCTGAGTGGGGACTTCCCAGAGAGCAAGCTACTGGATTTCTCTAAATTATCATAATCTCTGTTTTTGATATTGATTTGCCACTTTCTTGGGTCCTGCTGGTGCTCTACCTGCATCTGATCTTTTGCTAGGTGGCTCCTGACTCTACAGGCTGGTGCTGGCTAGACCCTGGTCTAGGTAGGCTACTGGATGGGCAGGTTGGTGCCTGGGCTGGTCCCTGGCTGTGCATGCTTGTAGTGACCTGGGCAAGCTTGTGGGTGAGCTGGCTCCCAATATTGCAGACATAGGCAGGCTGGTGAATGAGCTGGCCCAGGGCTGAGGATAACCTGGGCAGGTTACTGGATGAGTCTGCCCTTGGCTGGGACTAAGCTGTATTGACTGGTGGCTTAGCTTTGGATTGTAGCCAGGTTCCTTGCCCATGTCTCTGGTCCCTCTCTCCTTCCTTATGTCCAGCAGGAAGTACATAAAGTCACAAGGGGTTATAACAGTAATGTCATATATCCACGCCTGGTCCTCTGCCAAGCTTGGGACTGCGCAGCACGAGAAGGAGAACACATGAGTATTCTCCTTCTCACACTAGTGTGATTGCTTACACTGCACCACCAATTAATATTGAAATCCCTGATCGGCCCCAGTAACCATGAGCCATAGCTCTGAGCAACAACTGCTCTATACTCTCCTTGCACAGGGAGCTCCCAACACCCCTATTGACACCTATGTTGCTTACATTACTATTTGATAGTCATGTACATTCTATTGCTATTCAGATTTCTCAAACATTAAAGATATTTTCCAGACATAGACATTACAGTGTTTATATGTAACGCTCGACAGTGGAGGAATGCGTGATTAAAGTCTTGTTTACATTTTGTTCTACGGTGGTTTAAAAATCATTGAGACATTTCTTTGCTCCTTATAACTATGCTAACTGCATTGGGCAAAGTATGCGCAAAGATTTCTCCTGTTTGGTCAGTACTTATTCAGAAAGATAGCCCTGTGTTGCATTACGTAGCAGCATATCGAATTAAATATATATATATTTTTTCTCCAAATTAATAATAAACCAGGAAACTATATATGACAAATAATGTTTTTATATTTTCATTCTTTGTCCATCTTTACTCTCAGTGCCAGCAGGAGACAATTAAAGGGTTACTCCAACATCCATGACTTCTGCTTCTTGATGTGGTCATGGAGGAAGGAATCTGGCTGTACAATGTTTCTGCTTGAAACATTGTACATCCAGAAATATTTGCACTTTGGGGCTATTAACAACCCAGATACATGTGACTGTGGAAACCTGTAACTCTGTTCTGGGATGCCTAATGTCAATTCTGTGCATGTTTTACATGTCATCAGGTGTAAGGCTTGCAAGGGGAAACTTGAGTACCCCCTCCTTATACTTCCTGCTTCCCTATAACATCTGCTAATGTATTTTTACCCATTGTCTACCTTTCCTTGCCAGCTAAACACTCCAATCAAAGACTTCTCTATGGGAAGTCTTTGATTGGACAGCACAACAGCAGTTGTGAAGTCAGGGAGCTTCGCCCAACTCTGGATTTCAGGTAAGTAAAACTTTATTTTATTAGTTATTTGTACCATTTTTAGGTAAGGGGGACCTAAAAAATAATGCCCAACAGGCATTACTAAGTTCAAGGCGAGGTACAGATAAGGATTAGGCAGAGGCAGGGTCGGACTAGCAAGAGGTCAGGTCAGTCAGCACAGATTCATAAATGGAGGCCAGGCCAAAGATCAAATACCAGGTAGTCATAACAGCAACAAGGAAACAACAGAGTCAAGGGGCACGGTAATACTGCACACTGACAACTTGTGGGAGCAGGTTTAAATAGGAAAGTATCACACCTGCTTCACTGGCACACCCCATGGATGAGACAAGCCTCCTTCACTTTAAGGTATGCTGGGCTTGGCAGGTGCGTGCCTAATGGATTTGACATCAGTTTACGAATCCTTGTGAAAGACCTTTGCCAAGCCGAATTGCGAGACGTGACCTCAGCACCATGTGAACACCTCCGACCAATGAACAAACCCCAACATGTGAAAACTCAAATAAAGTACCGACCAAATGGCGCACTGCAGGGATAGGAGTGCGAAGAGAGTACCGGTCAGGGCGAGGGGCTGACAAATATGTATTAGGGAGAGTCTAACATAATAGTATTGCTGCACTGAAAAGCTTGAAGTTGCACATTTGTAGTGATAGTTTAGACCTCCCTATTTTTCTTCTTCTGCTTAATTGCCCTGATTATTTTTTTAGTTTTTAAGATAAATTGTCTGTTTTTAATAGGAGTAAGGCTAGCAGCAGCCATTGAATGGGATGCACATATATAGACCATAGGCTACTTTGAACTCAGCTTAGTTAAATATTGAATTTATAACATAACTATTGGTTCAATACAATGAAGACACAGGAAGAAATTACACTAAAAAAACGTTAATACGAAAATGAATGATAACAGAGCAGCACCTTAAACGTGACTTAGCTCAAAAAACCCTCCAATAAGATAACCTATTAAAGTGCCCTGTGCCTTTAAATTGTTCCAGAACAAGCCTCGTGCAAAACAAAAAATACTTCAAAACAAACATAATTAGTGCAAAAAAATCACATAATTTGCATGAATTATGTTTGTTCTGAAGTGTTTTATGCACACAGTTTCTTCTGGAACAATTTGAAGACACAGGACACAAAAAGTATATCACTACCATTTAAAGCACTTACTGTTTATGTAACTGGTATTTGTTAATGTTGTCCCCTAACAGATAATGTCACCAGCAACACTTTCAGTATAGGGTACTTTGTCTTTTTGGTACACACATCTGCACATAAGGTGCAAGTTAAAGCCTGCGTTTGAATAGTATTCATATTCTCCAACATGTGTCGTTTAAATGCTGTACCCTCGTTCAAAACAAGAAAACAGCTGTTACCAAAGAGCAGTAAAAATGCATGTATTTTCTGTCACACTTTTAAAGATAATTAAAAGAATGAAGATTGCTATGATGAAAAGAAAAAATATTTTTCAATGTGCAGTGTGTGCCCTATTTTACCAAATATCACTCACAATGCATAGTGTTCAAAGGACCAATGATATATATTTTCAGAGTATCTTGGCACTCATCTGTTGAAACAAAGATGATGGGGTGAGTGGGATATATTTAAAACTCAATGATGGTTTGTGTGCACACTTGGTACTCTGGAACCGTGCTTTGTACTTTATGGGTCACCCATCTCAAACATTAGTATAACTCATACGTACCCATATTTTGTGTGTGGGTTCCTTAAAGGACCACTGTAGTGCCAGGAAAACATACTCGTTTTCCTGGCACTATAGTGCCCTGAGGGTGCCCCCACCCTCAGGGTCCCCCTCCCGCCCGGCACTGGAAGGGGGAAATGGGTTAAAACTTACCTTTTTCCAGCGCTGGGCGGGGAGCTCTCCTCCTCCGATCCTCCTCCTCTCCTCCC